CCTTGCAATTTAGTGATAAAAAGCACAGTGAATGTACCTTTTCACTTTTTGAAGTACACATAACACTCGGATTTAAATCCGAGGTTTTCGCATTTATTTCTTTTCAGAATTAATGCATGAGTAATAAATCTTGATACATTCAGGATTAGTTTTTGGATATGGTATAGAACCTGTATTTTTCCATGAAAAAGGATCACATTTGTACGCATCTAAACATACAAAATATATGTTTAATAGAACGTTGAGAAGATTGAAACTCGCCTTTGGTATTTGATGCTAATGAAAGACGATAAATCACATTAGTTTCAATTCTATTAGGTAATTCTTCAAGTTTCTCATTATGTTGTAATGCATAATTGAGATCTGCAACACTGATTTTTAAATTTGATCGATTTGTGACTAAATGAAAAAAAAAATTATTAAATGGTAGCAAATGCGTAAAGCTCACATTGATTAAATACTGTTGCATCAGCCATCATCATCATGCATGAAACAAGTCCTATAATACGGTACTTGGAACAACTATTAAATGACTTTTACATCTGAAATTTTGAACAGCATTTAATAGTCACTTAAAAAATCTCTACAGCTTTCTATAAATTAAAAAAAAATTAAAACAGTTGTCAAAAATTCGCTTAATTTCTTCTAATAGATATGCTAAGACTTGAATGTTGTAGCAATTCTAATATGTCCGTTACTTATGAGTAAACTACGGACTGCCAGTTATTGGTTCGCTGATTATTTCATAATGACCAATAAGTGCCTTAGATCGCATCGGTCTTTAGTTTCAGCTTCGACCAATTATCATTACCCCCCAAAAGGCAAAAAATAAGAAAATGCGTTTCTGGTTGGTCGAATTTCTGGCCAATCAAAATCCCAGTATAAAATCTGACCCCAGATTCGAGTTTCTCGACCCCAATAACCTATAGCAATCTTTTATCAAAGCGCCCAACAACGTAAAAATAGAAAAGCTCCTTTTTGATTGGTTGGACAAACAAACATGCATACATTTTTTCTTGTAAGACCCTTTCTTTCAGAAAAAGGAATAAATAAATATAATAATTTGTATTAAAATATAATATTATATAATATTTCTCATTAATAATGAATCAAGGACGCAGTAGTGTAGAACTCGTTAATTCGTTACGAGTTTTAAACTTTTAAACTTTTGAATAGCTATAAATTTGAGTAGTCGAACTGTGGACTAGTGTGTGGGTCTGTTGCTGACTGTAGGTATGAGTTCATAGATAAGCCACACCCACACCCACACTCATACCCATACTTATTTCGCAGACCCACACCAACAACCACACCTGCATGCGCACCTACACCCACAGCCATTACAACTTTTCAAAAGTTTAAAAGTTAAAATTCGAAGAAGAAGTTTAAACTCGTAACAACTCTTCGATTGTTACATTTATGAACCACTGTAACATCATGCATGCTATAGCTATTATCTAGGATGCTGTAGACTATATCTGTGATGATACAGACACCATATGGGATGCTTTAGGCATCCCATGTGGAATGCCTCAGGCATCAACTGGGATGATATAGGCAGTACCTGCGATGCGACAGCGTTACCGCTACTATCAAATAATGTTATTAGTAATTTTTGTGCGATATCGCTGAAACAATGATACATTTTACTGTGTACATAGAGATGTGTATGAGTCACGGTTAGTGAGCAGCGTGACCATGGTTTTTGGTCATCGCCACGGTAACGGTCACAGTCACGGAAATTTTTCGAACATAATCACAGTCACGGTCACGTTTCTACCTCTGAGTTATTTATACTAATAGATCTTATTATTTTTCTGTCCCGGTTTTTCATGAAAAGTGATGACCGGGAGGGGGCGCGGTAGCACGGCAAAGATCACTCTACTCTACCCTGCCCCCCCCCCCCCTCTGCGTTAAACCAAATCTTGGAAAAGGTTGTGTGAAAAAAAGTATGTACCCCTAATATTATTTCCGAATGACCCTTATTTGGTCGCGGTCAAACTATTTGGTCACGGTCACGGAGATCTTTTGAAAGCTAGTCACGGTGACGATAATGCGTGACCGTGACCGTTTGGCTGATCTCTAGCCACGGTGCTGCGCGCCTCGACGGCACGACGCTGATATTAAAGGTTAGTTACACTGACAAAGAGTTTTTCCCTCATAGGATCTTCCTTGACAACTCCCCCACACACCCACATCCTTATGGAATGAATTGGGAATTGGGATTGGGATAAAATTTTATCTTTTGCTTTTTTACCGTAGTTACATGGCAGCCTTTCTTTATTTTCGAAGTGACATCGTGCAGTTGAAGCTTCATTTATATTCGAACTCGAATTAGGCATCTCATGAAACTGTTTTACTCAGACACTTTGTTCCCATTTAGGCAACGTAATCTTTTAGCAAGAAGCACACCTTGAAACCGAACTTTTTATACTATATACATCGAGTTGTATGTGAGATCACTCGCCTTATATTGAGTTACAATGTATTAAGAGAGTACGCTCAAAAAAATTTCGTTTTATCAGAAACCCGAACCTTTTGGAAATTCTTTCGAACCCAATGACCGTATCCGGAAAGGTTTTCAGACTTATGTCAAGTTTCTGGAAATAGCTTGTGGGTTCCCGAGTATCCAAAAACCCTGTTCGTTTCAGAAAGACTGGTTCCGTAAACCTTCAATTGTATTCTCAGAAACCTTGGGCTATTTCAGAGAACCAAAAGGTTTTCCCTAAAACCGCTCCTGCCTCAAAAGCCTTCTCGGAAATCCTGTGCGTATCCTCGAATACCTTCCGGTTGTCGGAATCAATCTCGTCGAACTGCCACTTCATCATCAGATTCAATTGATAATGATGAATATGAACAACAAAGAGACAAAGATAATAATGAAAAAGGTGAAGAGTACGTTTCAAACAAACTTTAAAGCAGCTTTCTCCAAGTCAAACAACATATACTGTACTACCACGTACTAGTGGTCTCTCTTTGCCACCAGGTAAACTTCGTCTTTTACAAGTAAGATCGTTTAAAATCATCAAAATATATTTGTATACTTTTTTTAAAGCATTATTAACTGATAAATCAACACTCGAATATCAATGTTTAGCATGATAAGCTTTACAAAAAAATTATTAATCGTCGAGTTAATAAAGTTAGTAGATGAAATTTAGCATAAATTATTCATCAATTATTTAAAGATAATACTGTTCATGATCGTGGTTTACTTGCTTGTAGCATTATTTCAAGCACAAATAGCATCACCATTTTATACCTCTATTTATATCTCAATACTTACTGTTATAAATAAAAAATTTCCACAAATCGGTGAATTAATTGTTAAACATCTTATATCATCATTTCGTCGAACATATCAACAAAATGATAAAAGTAATTGTTTAGCAACAACAGAATATTTTGTTAATCAAAATATCGTATCTATTTTTCAAAAAAACAAAAAAAACTTCTACTATTTTCTTTTCTTTTCTATTTAGTTACATGAAATAGTTCCATTAGAAATTCCAGTGCTGATAGTGTTGAATTAGCTATTGAATTTTTAAAATAATGTGAATAAAAATGATCATAACTTAGTCCATGTGGATTCGCTTCGGTAATTTCAACATTAAGAAATATACTTGATGAATCATCATTAAATAAACGTACACAATATATGATAGAAGTTTTATTTGCAGTACGAAAAGATAAAGGACGGGGGACGGTTTCTACGTAAAACGGTCCTAAATGAAAATCATTTCAGAACACTTCCTACAATTGAATTTCAACTTTTTCTACCTCAAACTCAAGCGTGCGGAAGTCTTTCCGACCATCCTTTGAAACCTCTACTCGACATTTCTAACTAGGATATTCGTAGTATCGATTTCACCATCCCGCTCAAAGGTTCACCGAGGCTGTCCATTATATGAAACTCATACTGTCAGGGAAGATAGAGCTTTTCGAGAGCTACAAAATGACTATAAAATGTAATGGAAAATTTGCTGCCCTCGGAAAATTCGAAAGACCACACTGTTCCGATTCTATGGGAAATCCAATAGATTTGATAGCATGGTTCATACGATATTGACTATCGCTCGTGATACCTTCGCCACTTTTTTCTGTGTAGATAGAGCTTTTGAGAACCACAAAATGACTATAAAATGTAAAGGAAAATTTGCTGTGCTCGAAAATTTTCAAGGACCACACTGTTGCAATTCCATGGAAAAGCCAATAGATTTGATAGCACGGTTCATACAATCCTAACTATCGCTTCTGATACCATCCTCATTTTTTCTGTGCAGATAGAGCTTTTAGACAGCTACAAAATGACTACGAAGTATAAAGGAAAAGTTGCTGTGCTGGAGATTTTTGCAAGCAGCACACTGTCTGGATCCTATTTGAAAGTTGGTGGATGGGATAGCGCATTTTTGATACAATCTGAACTATCGCTCTTGATAGCATGACAATTTTTTCGGTGCAACTAGAGCATTTGGAGAGCCACGAAATGACTACGAAATATAAAGAAAGATTTGCTATGCCGCGAAGTTTCAAACTGCCACACTGTCCGAATTCTATGGGAAAGCCAATAGATTTGATACTATGATCCATACGACTTCCCTATCGCCAAGATACGATGACAATGGTTTTGTGTGGAGATAGATCTTTTTGAGAGTAGAAAATGACCACAAAATATAAAGGTAAATTTTCCTAGTGTACATATGTGTTGGTAGTGATAACCAGTGTAGTCTGGGTTTTGGGGTATGAGTGTGTTGTCCTGAAGATGGATGTGAGTATTTGTGTAAGTGTCGGAATGCACTTAGGTCACGGCAACATCTAGTAGGATAGCGGCATCCACCAGGTCCGAGTAATAGATACACCACATGTACACTCACACCTACACTCTACCCGGCACCCTGCCGACAACGACACTGCATGGCGTCGTCCTCTTTCTCACTCATACACTAGGCGCGAGTTTTCCATTACAGCTTACAAATCTCTTCGGTATGTTACATTGTCCAGAAAGTTTGTGCAACTTGTACGGTATGAAATCTTAGGTTAACAGCTGCTGCATTTTATCGACGTAATGGCCTTCGGTATCATCTACATGTAGTTCGTTTGCAATGTGTGATCCTTCACCACTGTTATTACTTTGAATAAAGCAGTACTTCTTAACCTAAGATTTCAGAGTATACGAGTTACGCGAAGTTTTTGCATAATGGGATACTATGGCGTTCATTTGTTTTTGTCAGAGGATTTGGATGGTGTACTCGTTCGATATTGTAGAAGACAAGGCTTTGCTAGTCTGTTTATGATCGCTGTGCCGCTCTGAAAAAGCTCAATGTGCATAGAAAAAGTGACGAACATGTGATGAGTGAGACTGAAAATCACATGAACCATACTATCAGCTACATCGGCTGTCCTACCGGCTTCCGATTGTGTGGTCGTTTGAACTTTTCGAGCACAGCAAACTTTCCTTTATAGTTTGTCGTCATTCTGTCGATGTCAAAAAGATCTATCTGCATAGAAAAAATGATCATGATATCACGAGCTATCGCCAGGATCGTATGAACGACACTATCGCATTGATTTGCTTTCCGGCAGAATCCGAACAGTGTGATCCTTTGAAATTACGGAGCACAGCACATTTTTCTTTATATTTCGTAGTCATTTTGTGGCTCTCCAAATGCTCTATTTGCACCGAAAAAGTGTTCATGCTATCAAGAGCGATAGTCCAGATCGTATGAACCACACTATCCCATCCATCGGCTCTCCCATGTGATCCAGGCAATGTGGTCTTTGGAAAATCCCGAGCACAGCAAGTTTTCCTTTATACTTTGTAGTCACTTTGTAGCCCTCGAAAAGTTCTATCTGTACAGAAAAAATCGCGATAGTATCACGAGCGATAGTCCATATCGTATGAACTATATTATCAAATCTATTGGCTTTCCCATATTATCGGGACAATGTGGTCTTTCGAATTTTCGATTGGCAGCAAATTTTTCCTTGCATTTTATAGTCATTTTGTAGCTCTCGACAAGCTCTATCTCTCCTGACAGTATGAGTTTCATATGGTGAACAGCCTCGGTAAACCTTTGAGCGGACTGGTAAAATCGATACTACGAATATTCTAGTTAGAAATGTCGAGTAGAGGTCTCAAAGAATGATCGGAAAGACTTCCGCACGCTTGAGTCTTATGTAGAGAAAGTTGAAATTCAATTGTAGAAAGTTTTCTGAAATGATTTTCATTTAGGGCCGTTTTACGTAGAAACTGTCCCCCGTCCTTTGATTGAAAGAAAAATTTCAATATGTTTATAAGTATTATTTGTTTTTAACCAAGAAAAATATTATGATAAAAAATCATCATCAATATAAATTGTGATTACCTACAACTTTTTTCTTTTACTAGAAGATCATATCAGATCTCATTACAATCGAATCTAACTAGATTCCATAGAAAAATCGTAGCATATATTTATGATTAAGAATTATATCAACTATTAGAAATCAATTTTGTAAATGTTAATAGGAAAAATTTAATTGTTTGATAAATAATCACTACATCAAATAATCTATTGAGCTCTATTGATATCAATCTTCATTAGTTTTCAAGACGAATTTAATTAATTTTATTATTTTTATTTTAAAAAATAAGACTTACAAATGATAAAGATAAATTTCAATATATATTTGTGTGTATGGAATATAAATGTATTAAGAAAACAAAAAGCTAACAAATACATAGTAATAATGTAACCGATCAAAGATCTTCCTCCGATTTATCGTCATTTGACTGAAGTTGATGACGACGAAAACGTTGTTTTCGTGCTAATGTAAATGCTTTCCATGCTGCTGAACGACGTGTATTAATACCAATATCATTAGCAGTAGAATACTTTTCACTTTCATTATCAACAGTTCCATAAGATCGTTCATTCCATTCTTGTTCAAGTTGCCATCCATGTTTATAATCTGAACGATCATGTAAAAATTTGCAACTATCACCAAAACCACAATAACCTAAAATAAACAATAATTATATTACTTATATATATATATAATGTTATATCAATTGTTATAAACCTGTTTCTTTGTAATCTTTACAAATATCAGGTTGATAATCCCAACGAGTAGATACACGAAAATGAACAGGTGCACGTATTGGACCTATCGAAAAAAAAAATAATAATCACAAACAGATAAAATATGAATAAAAATTTATCCTACCTTTATTACGAACAAGACCACTACTTGCGTTTCCTTTGACAGTATCTTTTTTTTCATAAAATTGTTGATAATTATTCATACCACGATAAATTTTATCATCGTCTTTACCTTTTAATTCTTCATTTATTTTTTTTGCACGTTCAAATATAGCTTGTTGATCATTTTCTTTATCAGTATCAATTTCAATTGTAGCTGTTGCACCCATATCTTTTGGATCTTGTGATTGTATTTGTCGATCAGATTTATATTTAACAACAATTGAATTTTCTTTTTTATTTAATTTATTTCTATTAAAACAATCTTCATTATCATATTCATCATGCTGTTTATGACGTTTATTTGATATATAATTCTTGCTTGTTGCTACGAGACCTCTTGGTTTTGTTTTTATAGGACGAAATGTTGAAGCTGACGGTTCATTTTCATCATTTGATGATGAAGAATCTCGACGATGTTTTAATGAACTTTTAATAATTTCATGATGAATAGGAGTTTTAAAAATAACACAACTAGCTTTGTTATTAATATGAGTAGACATCATCTAAAAGAACAAAAATAACAAAAAAAAATATATAACATTTAAATAAAAGAAAATTAAATAAATATTGTTTTCTATTTTATATTCTCATAATATAAAAGAATAAATCACTATTATTTCTTATATGTATCGATCAATAGTTGTTCATGCTTCTCTTTTTATCTCATAGAATTTTTGAATATAATTTATATATAAGAAAAATAATAATAAAAAGATAAATAAACTAAATGCACTCACAATTTGATTGTTGAACAAAATTTAAGATAAGAAATGAATGATATGCATATATATAACAAGATTGAGTATTTATTTCTCTGAAGAAAAGAAAAATGTCAAATCTACCGGCAAAATAGAATATGTTTTAGAATTCAATCAATCAATATGAATGAACTATAGGTGTCGGTTTAAGAGAAGCTACATTCACACTATATATACACTATAGTGTATGGTATGTAGCTTATCCTTTCTTCATTTACATTTACACATATCATTTGACATTGAATACTCTACTTATTTCTTTGCATTTATCATTGTTTTTGTTTATATGAATTTATCTTAGTGATTTGACACACGTACATATTTGTCGGAGACGGCGAAACTAACCCAGTTGCCTTAATTTCCTATTTTGTGACGTAGTTTCTGTAAAAAATTTTAAAATCAACAACCTATAAATGACTATCGATATATTCACGCTGTGTAAAGCTATGAATTTTTCTTAAATGGAAACTGATCATTTTTTCTTTTTCTTTTTAGTGTTACTAATAATAGCAAAAAGTTGAGACAGAATATGCAAATATCTTTAATTTTATATTATAATAATCTAACAAGGGAACATATTTGAGTGAACCCATGTAGAGAGAGTTTGAAACCATTCTATCTTATAGGATCCTCCATGAATATCTCGAATATAAATATGTTAGTTGCTCTCCTTTAGATCTGGTAAAAAAAAAGGAGAAGACTAAACTTTTTCCGTTTTAACCCTTGTTTTACTAATAGATATGTCATAAAGTTTTTTCATTATTTTTTTAATTTGCTAAAATGATCATTTAATTTTCAGAAAAGAACTATAGAAAACGAATCGGATTCGTTATCCGAGCTAGTTCTCTTTCAAAAATCGTAGTATTATATTTGTTTTTCATCTAGGTGTTCGCTTGATTAACCATTTTTTTGTTTTTGACAATTTAATGATAATAACCAGAAGTGTATTCAATACTTTTTTCATGCATTAAAATCTAACATTTATTACCAGAAAGCTACTACAAATTAAAATATTCTCATGAACTTATAGTAAAGAGAGAAATATAAATATATAAAAGAATGTCACACTGGCGCTTGTACGTAAAAAAAAATGAAAATCATTGAAAAATGTTTAGCTAAAGAAATTGACTAACACGGCAGATAAATACATTAGAGGAATATTTATTTTATTTTTTCTGTCAGTCATTCTATGCGAAAAAAAGAAGTTGTGTGAAGAAAACACAAAAAAAATTTAATACGATGCGTCTAATCGTTTATAACAGAAGCATCCATATATATTTGAAGAAAGTCTAGAAAAAACTTATACAGAGTATTCTTAGCTGGCGTCATCACTTGTGCATCATCTCTTTCTTTCTGTCATTTTTGTGACGTCATCATATAAGTATATTCCATCTATATCTTCTTTCATTCTGCTGTCATGCGTGAATGCGTATACACGCTTCTTTCTAGTATGTTCAACTTCATTCGTTTTCTTTCTCTTTCTTTCTGTATGGATCCAATGATTAAATATGCATGGTTCTCGTGCGGTTATTTCAACTCAAGATCCTGGCAGATTTGAAAATGTTCGAGATATTTGCTTTTCCTTTGACAAAGATAGTTCTTCTGTTGTTTGATGCAACGAACAGAGCTTCATATCTTGCAGCTAGTGCAATCAAACTTTGTTTTCAACACTTTTTCGTTGAAGATCATAAACATTTTTAGTTTATTTCTTTTTTTTTTGTGCATTTTTTTTATTTAACTGTTCCACAAAAACCTCATTATTCATTACTCAACTGTCAAAAATAAAAAAAAAATGGTTAATCAAGCGAACACCTAGATGAAAAACAAATATAATACTACGATTTTTAAAAGAGAACTAGCTCGGATAACGAATTCGATTCGTTTTCTATAGTTCTTTTCTGAAAATGAAATGATCATTTTAGCAAATTAAAAAAATAATGAAAAACTTTATGACATATCTATTAGTAAAATAAGGGTTAAAACGGAAAAAGTTTAGTCTTCTCCGTTTTTTTTACCAGATCTAAATGAGAGCAGCTAAGATATTTATATTCGAGATATTCATGGAGGATCCTATAAGATAGAATGGTTTTAAACTCTCTCTACATGGGTTCACTCAAATATGTTCCCTTGTGAGTTCATATATTGATGATTATATTTTATGAAAATTAATAATACTAATATCCTAACAACAACAAAAAAAAAATATATATATATATATATTTTTTAAATTTCTCATTAATTTTAATGTATACAATAGTAAGCATATACTTTATGTCAACTATGTTTCATATTATATAAATGAAGTGTTAATGTTGAATTAATAATTTCATTCTGTTCATCATATGTTCGAAGATGATTAGTGCGTATATGATGAACAATAAGAAAACATGTTGATACTAACGACGAAGCCACGGATATGCTAGAGTGAGCTAAAAGCTCATCTGAAACCTTATTAAGTTCATCCTGAAAAGTTTTTCGTATTGATATTATCAAGGCAATAATTTCGATTACATAAGCAAGATGTAATGCAATGTAAAAACGTTTTCTATAATTAAATCTATATTTAATTGTAAGTCGTTTTTAATGTCTGTCAATTATCAAAGAAAGTCTGTTGACATCAGATGCATATACAAATATTATTTGAATGATAATAACAATCAGAAAAATAATGATATTATTAGCTGTTTAAAGAAGATATATGTGCTCCACATGAAGTTTAATTAACTAGTATATTCGATAATCAATGTATGAAAATTGTCTTTTCTCATTCATTACGTCAAAGAATATTGAATCTTCGAACTATACAGTTAATAACTGAATACATATCGAATGGACATAAGTCATTTCATAAAGAATCTTTCACTATGTCTATAATGTTTTAAAAAAAAACAAACAAATCGTCTACCGTTAGAAAGTTTTCTACATAGAAAAAATTGATCTTTGGTTCATCAAAGCTAAACCTTCGCTTTTTTACTATAGCTTAATAGTTGAAAATTTTGTTGCTTTGAATAAATATAGTATAGAATTGTCGAAATCGGTCATACTTCAAAAACTCAAATAAAACTTTCGAAATATTTTGCTCCATATAATAGATATGTATTCTTCAAAAATACATCAATTTCGTCTTCTATCATTGTGACTAGAAAGTGTTTTCATGTCAAATTAAGCAATTGTTTTTACTACTTTGATCGATCAACTTGATCATATTAGCGAAACTGTTTTTCAATAATGTTTGACAGAAGGTAAAAGACGATATCACCTAACTAATCGAAGAAATAGAAATCTCTATGAGTCAAATATGCTTTTGTAATAGATTCTTTTTGATAAACAAAAATTTCAATTCATTAAATCTTCTTCTGAAAAAACAAAAAATCTTTTGATTTTAAATTTAGACAAGAAAGAAAGTAATTAATTCTTTTGAATAACTATAGCAATCGAAGATCTGAGATGTTAACTAGAGGAAAAGTGAAGATAACTGAATAGGGAGAACGAATATACACGAAAGATAATTTGTATAACTCATATCAGGTAACATAAAACTAAGTTTCACTCGATTATGTTGTGAAAAATCAAGGAAAAAATTTTTCAAAAGAAGATGATCGTTACCTTGTCTTTACTTTAATTTTGACTGCTGAATCCTAGCGTCGTATTTTTATTACTACTTGATAATAATTTTCTCTTAATTTTTTTTGTAATAGAAAATTGCAAAGAAGATAATTCTTTGTGTTATCTGTAGTTCATAAAAATTCTAAGTAGGTCGAACTCATCTGAACGAAAAAATCTAGTGTTGCCGCTAGTCATTTCAAGATCGAATTTAATTTTTCAATTAACTATAGTAAATAAAAACTTTACACCAATCTTTAAAATGCTTATTATGTTCATTCATTATGAAAAATTTTGTAACTAATGAATTTTTTCATAATATCGTTTAGTTAAATTTTTGTACATGAATAAGATCGATTTGCATCATGATAAACAGAAATTTCACTTGTTGTTTTTTTGTAGTGACTCAAAATCTTCGGTTGTTGGTAATAATTGAAAGTAAAAATAATTATATATCATCATTTTTATGTATTTTATGAAAAGAACAAAATCAAACTTTACCATTAATGTTCAGTCATTATATAATGATTCAATTCTAGATGTCATGTATTATCAAATAGTAATTATAATAAATACAGAAATAAAATGATCTTTTCTCCAATTGCTTTATTTTTTGGTAATTGTTACAAAATGCCAATGAATTCATGAATCATTAAGCAATTTTTTTACTTGCTTATACTACGAAAAATAAATCTCTCTAAGAACTTTACTATAGATATTAAAAAAGAAAAACAAAAAAACAAATTAAGAATGAAAGATACAATTCATCCTTCTGATCTAGCTATGTGAAAATCTCATGTATAAAAAAAAAGTTAAACTATTTTTATTTATAAATTGATTGTTTTCTTCTTCTTTTTTTTTTTTGTGTGTTTTTATAAGTAGACTTCATTAATTTGTACATTTGAATTAAAAAAACAAATGTAGTATTAATTAATTTACCAAAATAAAAATAATGATTAAAGCAGTATGAAATTGTTTTTGTTTTTAATATAGTTTTTTGTATTGATGAAATAACTTATGGAAAGTCTTCATTACTTAATAATTTATTTAATAAATGATTAGATTTAAAAACATCAACATATAATATATCATATGTATTTTTAACATAAATTTCGTTAAATATTAACTATTGTTAAAATAAA